TATATATATGCACGTAAAGTGTATATCATTCGAATGAAAAGAATAAAGATACTTTGTTATGTTAGAATGTATTGTCCCTTCTTTATTCGTTCTTCTTATACATGTCACAAAGATTCACAATTGTCTATTATATGTATTATCTTGTCTGTGCTAGAACGTATCGATACGGACGATTCATCACGTGAACAGCTTATTGTATTTTTATTGTTGACTTCATTAGCAGAACTTTATTATGTGTCGTTTGTTAAATATGTTCATTTAATTCTTTGTTTCTCACAAAATGATAAGGCAAAAACAAAAAGAAAGGAGCATTTACTTTTCCTTTTCTATTTGTTCCAACAAATTTACAAGAGTAACTTCCTTGCCATTAAGACAAAATTTAATCTCTCACATACTTTTAATGTGTCATCAAGATACAATTTCGAAAGAAAAAGATTCAAATTCTGACAATTTTTCAAATCGGGCAAATCAACATAAATTTCCAAATTTTTCTCAGCGTAGAGAATTAATAATAGAAATAACAAAATTTAGTTTTTTTATAATTTTTATAATGACGTTAAAGAGAGAGAAATTGAACTATTTTTCTTGAATTATAGGTGAATGACATTGTTTCTCATCTGGACATTGAAATCGAAGCGTTTGATTTAATAAACAACTCAGTTCGAATGCTCGTTCATCATCTTTTAGAAAACAATCAGGTGTACCATCAAGGATTCGATATTTTGAAATATATTTTGATGAATTCTTACAATGATACAGTGATGAATAGTGAGAACTTATGTTTTGATAACGTTGAGTGATACAACCAATAAAGTATGGTTTGACTGAATCGATGACAGATTTCCATGTAGTTAATTCGACATTCAAGTCAAAGCTTGTTTCATTTCCGTATCGACAGCTTAGATTTTTATAAGGAAATGTAGGTGTAAGAAAATCACATAATTGCTCATCATAACAAACATAATCAGGTTTAAGAGCTAATGTTGTATTAATATTGTCAATTTGCTTTAGATCATATAAAAATCGCACATGACCAAAGAGTACAGGCGTAACCGGAAACTCTAGAGGAAACGTACAGTTTTTAAATTCTTCAATGATTTCAGAAGATTGCATGAGCTGATCACATGTTACATTTTCGATTTTATTCATGATTTTGCTAAGACAAATCATAACTATCCAACATGGATAGAATAAATTTCCTTGAATACTAATTGACTGAGTTAATGCTAAATGTCGATTATTTTCACATTGGCCAAAATCTTCTACACATTGTCCATCACCACACGTAAATTGGCCTTCGTCAGGTCGACATACATATTCTTGATATTCGAATAGATGTGGTCGATAATTAGCTTCCAGAAGATGATTGTTCTTAATAATTTTATCCGATCCATCAAAACATTGCGCTTCCACAAATTTCATTTCCAAAAAGATTTTTGGAATACATAATCCATTGTGACATCGATAGTCATTCCTATTGCATTCATTTATTTCTAAATTAAAACATCCAATTTCATCAATACCATCATTTAGACAATCGGTTCGACCATTGCATATCTCACGCCAATCGAGACAAATCGATGAACCACTACGACCACACTCTAATAGAACATAACACGTTTGTTGAAATATATTATCTGTTAAAGTCATTTCGAATGAATCCCGGACGAATTCATCTTCATTTATTTCTAATAAATATTGACATCCAGATCCAAACCATGGATGTGTACAATTAAGAAAAGTTTGATCCGATAAATTAGATTGAAATGGTCGATCGAGATAATATTGATATTCTTCAGCAACTTCAATCGATGAGGATCATAGAAGAATATCATATGAAGTAACATTTAGATGATATAATTCATTGAAAATAAAATATTCATCAGATATATTAAAAAATGAATTACTGTTGTCAAATTCATCTCGTTATTTGGACGAATATAATATTTAACTACTTCAGAAAACTCTGAGTCAGGTGAAAAATAATGTAAACAATCAAATCCAAATGGATCTGTATCATAGAAAAATGACTGTATACCATTAAATATCCATAGAGAAAAAAACATAATATAAAAAAATCTCAACATTTGATTCAAATGCAGCTTTGCACACAAATGGCAATATAATGTATAGATAGATTTAACACAACTTTTATGGTAAATATATATCATTATTTGGTTATATTAATAGTGTTCACTGTTATACGTGTGATTCTTTGAGACGTGATATATCAAAACACAACAATGTAATCTGATACTCGTTTTATTTATGTATCTAGATATGGCACATTCATTTAATAGAAAAAAGTAGACATAATCAGGTATCTTCTTTTATTTGATAGAGAATAAATATCATGCATGAAGCATCTTGATTAGCAAAAGAAAAGTTCAAAAGCAAATATCAAGAATGCCATAATTATAGATACCATCATTTACATTGTGAAACATTGCCATTGCTGGAACAGTGGTCATGGGTTACATAGCCATGATTTCCATTGGGTAAATCGATTTTATACCATTTTCTGTTTTTACCCAAAACCTTCTCGATTTTAAAGCAATCACATGGATAGTGATCGTGGGTGATAGCCCAGCCAACGTCAGGGCAGCTCATTTTTGCGCATGTAAAAATGGGAACTCTTTGAAGACATTGAACATACGTAGCCTAATTATATGAAACAACAAATATTGCAAATATTAAATTATTCGATAGAAAGCAGAAAATTTACCTCGCATACTGCCAGAGCGATACCTAAGATGATGAAAAGACGAATAATAGTTGAATACATTTTTGTTTTGAAGTAAATGATTTCAGCAATCAAGACAACCCCTTTATATACATGGGCGAATACAAAAATCATATAATTTATTGCACAGCTTGTGATAAGTGAAAATGATGAGTAACTGATTATGATATCGATGTCATTTTATTAGAAAAGAATGAAGTATTTGATTTACATATTGCATTTATTGTTTCTCGATGGAGATAAAATTCTACTTTCTGAATCCTTTTTTTTTTCTTTCTTTTTCTTTCTTTCCCTTTTTTCTTTTCTTTCTTTTCTTTTTAGAATACAATATTTGACTATCTCAGAAAATTCTGACTCGAATGAAAAAGAATATGAACAATCAAATCCAAACCAGGCTGCCAAATTCAAATTTTACAAATCAGGATTTCTTTGTTAAAAAATAGAAGTTGGTCAGGAGAAAAATCAGAAAACTTTCTCTCGAAACCAGAAGAAAACTACGACAGTGTCACTTACTTTATTTACGAAAAAGCAAAGCTTTTCATCCTCCAATGTTGATAATTTTGGTTTTTAATAAACGAGCAATGAAATGGTCTGTCTGAGTGAACGAAGCAAAGAGAAACAGAAAGATAATTATGCATACTTCATTTTGCTAGTCTTTTCAGAGCTGCTTATTGAAAAATATAATGGAAAATGATACAAACGGGTTTAAGAAACCGTCAAAGAATTGAAACAGAACAGAATAAATCGTTTGCTACGATTTTTTTTGTATTGTTGTATCGCGATTCTATTTTTCTTTTGAGTGAATTCGTTTCAACAGTTCTTTACTATTTCAGAGGTTTTTTTTATTTTAATTTTGAACTCGACATCCAATAGGATCATTTTTTATTTTATTCCTATTATCATATCATCAAAATTTTGTGACTGAAATTTGACTAATAATTAGTTCTCTATACTCATTATTTATCGGTCTGTATCAACACTGGAATCAGATCTGTTGTCAAAAAATCAATCGGCTCGTAGAGATGAGAATTTCACAGGTTGTAATTTTTTAAAAACCTTCTTTCTCGATGCTGTTTCTGACCATAACAAAACTAAGATATTGGATAAATTTCTGTTTGAGTTGGTAAAAAA